ACAGTTTGGATGAACAAGCCAGTCCCCACTGGTCCCTTGTCCAGTCTGTCTCCCCATACATCCCTTCTCATTCCCAGTCTCCACCCCACAGGCTCCTTATCCCAACCTACTCCTGTTGTCGCCCTCCCCATTCTGGCCATTGTCCCCTCTGCATTTGAGTCAGGCTTCTTTCACCTCCATGCAGCCTGACTGCCAGCAAGGGGGAGCACTGAGAGCACAGTCTCCTTGCTTCTGTTACCATGACCAACCTGGAGAATCAATTGCAAGGACAGTCCTGCTCTGCGTGGAGCATGCTCAGTGCAGACTATCTTCAGAGAATTTAGCTGCAAAACTCTAGTATGTCTACTGAACCAGTGTGAACTCAAGATTTTTCATAGGCTCATAACTTGGTCAAAGTTGGGAATCTTCGTGAGAACAGAAAAAGGCTCCCCCTGACAAATTTCAAGCCCAGGTTGCAAACCACAGGGGCACCAGAGCGTCTCACGTAAACTAAGAATTTTTTTTAACATGAGCAAACAAACAGTGTATATTTCTCATCGCCGCCTTAGGAATGTCTGAATACTTTTTGCGAAAACTTTCCAATGCAATTCAGCCTGAGGCAGACACCCAGCATAGAAAGCTTCAGCCTGAATGGTCAAAGTTATGAGCAACTGAAAATAGGCTCATAGAATGGGAAAGGGCAGGCAACCTTAACTACCAGTTCTGCCTAGAATGTATTCACCTTCTAACAGGGCTCTTCTCTCCTTGTGGCAGTGTGGCTATGAGTGTTTCTGCACACTGGCTGCCTAAGAAACTCGATTTTGAAGCCTTCAACCAATACCTATTTCAGGTCTCAAGTCCCCTGCAGCAGACCTTCAAAGAGAAATAAAATGCTGCTTCCTCTCTCAGATCAGTAAAGGGATTCTCCTCATTTTGGTGAGGCCCCAACAGTGCACAGGTGGGAGTTGGTTCAACAGCTCAATCTTCTAAAAGGCTGAGGCACCCAATCAGACTGGTTTTGGACAATTACACTCCAATTTTAGGTGGCTCTTTAATTCTGGGCAAATTTGCTTCACAGAGTTTGAAACCTGTGGTTGTTAGTCTCAGTGTAGTATAACAGGACATTGCACATTTGGTGGGCTCTATCCCAGAGTGGCGACAGCAGTGTCTTGCACAGGATTAACTTGATTTTGCTGGAGACACAAAGTCTGTTTAGCAAGGGAAGCTGTTCCTCTTCCATCCATTGTGACCTTCCCTTCTTGTTTCCTTTCTTCTTTTTTGGCTGCAGCTGGGAGTACTATGTGAATGATGCACCCCGTATTGTGTTGGACAAGCTGGAGAAATATGGCTACCGAGTGGTCAGCATGACAGGGGTGGGCCAGACCCTGGTTTGGTGCCTCCACAAGGAGTAGCATGGAAGACTGTAGTGTTCCACCTACACAAGACATTGCTGTGGATCATCTAGCACAGGACTGGCATTGAGCTTCCCCATTAATTAATTCTTTTTTGTCCCAGTTTCCAGACATGCTCAAGGGAAGTGCTGTATAGTCAAAACTTCACATAATGGAAAACTACCATCAATGCCATTAGATGAGCTCTAAGGGGAAGGAGATGTGCCCACTCAATTCTAAGGGTAAATCATGCATGAATCCTTTGGAGATTGGAGGGCTCCTCCTAAGTATTGTCTGAATGGCAGTCTGGGAAATGACAGCACTTCAAGTGTTAATCTTGCCCATTCAGTACATATTTGAGTGAGGTCAAACACTAGCCTGGTCTTGCCCCTGGAGAAGTTAAGCATTGATCTTCTCGCTCATGAGGCCACCATTTAAATACAGCCCCTGCTCAGTCCTCAGAGTAGGTCAAGCATAGACTACTTGTTGCAATCTCCCTGGAACAGTAAGAACAGGATGCCAGACACTGACCCGGTCCTTGCTATTTGAACAAGCTCCCCTTAGCACTGAGAACAGTTTGAACGTTGACTCTCAAGTGGGATTATGGTTGGCGTGGGCAGACATTGTCCTGGTCAGCCCTGAGACTGCCATTCCAGTGTAACACATGGTCTTTGAAATATCTTTAGAGAAGTACATCACTGGAGAAAGGTCCTGTGACTATTTCAGGTATTGGTTGTGTAATCTCACAAACTGCATATAATTCCTGGATTGATTTGTACTGATCAATTCCTACTGTAGCCAATGAAGTAATAAAGAATTAATATAAAGAGACTGTGTGATTTTCTTCCATGGGCTACTTTCAGCAGTCAGATGTGTGTGAAGAAGCTATATGAGAAGCTATATGAAAAACTTCTGCTCCTGTGTAAAAAATTCAAGACCTAATCCTGACAGATGTTGAGCAGCTACAACTTTTAAATCTGTGGGAGCTGCATTTTGTTAGCACCTCTCAGAAAAAGGTCCTCAGTTACAGGGCAGCTACTGTTTTAAAGTCTAGATTAGGTGACAGCCATCTCCCCCTTTCATCAAAGGACTGTGTGGATGCTGAGTGTTAACTGTCCACTTTCCAAGAAAGTATTCCCGCAAGGTTGTAAAAAAAAAAAAAAAAGAAAGAAGTTTATTGACTTAATTTAAGAAAACAAGTTTTTAGCTGAAGGATAGGGGAGAGAATATGTATTCCACCATGCTATGTATGTGACTCTTCCTCGTCTTCCCGTTTGAGCTGCTCAATCAGCTGCTGTCGCTCAGCTGCTTGGCGCATTCGCATCATAACCAAGCTTTCATAATCCCGCTCCGAGACCACGGAATCCTAGGGAACAAATGACAGAACTGAATTTGTAAAGAACAGCCTACACCACAGTTTCCAAACTCCCAGAAATCTCCACTTGCTATGAACTGTACAAACACACCACAGTGGCAGTAAAGATGGGTGCTGCACCTGGCAGGTCAGCAGGTTAGAGATACCCAGCTGGTCAGGTTAGCAATGACATTTGTTACTATGTGATAGCTGTTTGGCCTACATAAAGTAGACACTTGTCTGTTGGCTATCAGAATGAACACCCTCATCGGCCATCTCAGCAGAGGGGACAGAGACAGAATGGGGGTCAGAAGACTGACTTACCCTCTAGCTCCTCCAGCTGGTCCCAAAAAGCTATGTGAAGGGTTGGCGGGGTGGCCCGTGGAAGCTTGCACTCCCCCTAATCCTGCTACAGCTAAGGAGGGAATTCTCAAATACACAAACTCAGGAACTTCCATTTCCACTAAAACTCATTTCCATAAGCAAACAGTAGAATTAAGCAATGTGCTTTGCTTGAGTAAATATAACGTTCTCAGACTGGCAGATTATTCTAGGTTATTAAAGAGGCACTGTCAACTTAATCTAGTCAGTGTTTACACTGACCCCTCAGTCCCCTTGTGTTTAGTTTCTGTGATTTTACAGTCCCTTTTTGTGTGTTCCTCTCTCTCTGTACGAGCCATACGAACAACAGGGAAAAGTGACCATCACAAAGTATTGTCAAATGCACAAAATAAGCAATTAAACGTTTTTCTGAGCATTCAGTTTTAGAATCTCCAGTGTTTTAATGAGGCTAGAGAAAAATAATTCAGCCATAACTGACCTAAATTACTGGTGTTTTCTGGTGTTTGTTGTTTTCTGTTCTTCATGCAAGTTTTTACCATTAAAGTTGATTTAATGTTCCTTTTCAAATCAACATCACAAGAGTGATCTGCAATAACTAAAGATGACCCTCCCTAGCTATCTTTCTAAAACAGCCTTCCCTCAAGAATGAAAAACTACTGATGTTTCAAATAGTGTAACAATACAAACAAACTACATAAGCAATAAACTCACTCAAATTCTACGGTACTGTTATATCTGATGTCAGTTGTACTGTGTAATTAAAACACTACAACAGTAAAGAGTCAAATGCATATATTGCCAGGTACAAAACCACACTTGCTGAAAATTAAACCTCTCTAAAGTGTACTCAAGTGATTGTACAAAAATAGCACCTTCTGACTCAGATCTGCTCCCGCCAGTTTGGGAACCATCTGCTTTACCGACCAAATCAATGGTTAGGTCAAACTGAGACCACAGCTTTCTATGCTGACCCATATCGTCTCGTTGTTTCCTTGTACTGTCTGTCTGTATCCACCTGTTGTCTCTTGTTTTATACTTAGATTGTAATCTCTCTGTGGCAGGGACTGTCTTTCTGTTCCGTGTTTGTGTAGTACCCTAGCACAACGTGGTCAGCTCGTAGGCACTATGGTAATACAAATTAGTATTAATAATAGTGTTAGCACTGGCAAGGCAGCATAACTACATTGGCTCCTCAATGAGGCAAGTAGCAGAAAACAGCTACCTTGTCAGAGCCCAGCTGCTTTTTGTGTCAATGGTATTTGAAAAGTGGCAGTACATGGTCCCATAACTTCAAGATTTCCCTGAAATATAGCATTACTTTTAGACATTTGTCTTGTTCCCTTGACACCTACAGTTAAAAAAAAGCCACCTTAACAAAATAATGCTGAAAATCAATAAAAGCATTCCACATTTCTGGGAAATAGTCATATTCCACACTGATTGAAACAGAACTTTGTGAATACGAAAGAGCAAGAAAAACCATCCCTTAGAGCAAAAGGGGGCTCTTGCAGGAAAGTGGGGCAGGCATGAATTCTCCATCATACCCCAGGAAAGAGCTTCCTCTAGTGGAGAGATGGAATAGATTGAGAGGGATACAGAAGCACATGATTAACTGAACTCTCTAAGTGGGAAGGTGGAAGAATCTTATGCTGTAACTGATATTTTAGCATCTATATTAACAAGCTTTTGATACCATGAGACACCAGCATGGATACAGGTAATATCAGAGGAAGTCAGCACTCGTGCCAAATCAAATCTCAGTCTTCAACAGATGAACTAGGTCCCTTCATTGCTAACCTGGAGCTCCTACCCAATGAGCAGATTCCCACTGCCATCTGCCTGGGTTGGTTAATTAGCCAGCATGAGGCTCTTGCACGTGAGTCACCAACAGCAGAATGTATGCATCACCACCTGATACTTCAAGCTTTAAAAATCTAAAGGAGAAAAGAACCACCCCCTCCTTCCATCTGTGGATCTCACCAGTACAGTGAGCCAGTCAGAAATCACTGTAGCTAGAGCTCTCCAAGGAGAATCCAAGTTTTCCCAAGCTGTGTCACAAAACAAAAGGTCCTGTTGATGAATCTCCTGAAATCAGTTTAAGTGCCCCTCAGGAATCTTGCCTTCTCCTCAGGCAGAGCGTGGGCTGATGCTTCACTACTCTCCACACACCTACTTCCTGAAATCTTGGCAATTACCAACAGTGCAAAACCCAGTTTCTGACGTGGTTGACTCAGCAAGGGCTTGGCTCAAAACAAACACATACACACAAGGAATCAGAGCCTGGGAAGCAGTGACAAGAGACAGATGAGAAGAGGTGGAAGAGAGCAGAAGAGAAAGAGCACTGTAGGATTTACCGGCTGTTTCCAAACCAGCAGAATCTTGCCTTGAGCTGCTGATTGTGACACACAAGTACGTTGTCTACGGTGGTGGTCGTGGTTCTCATCACTGAATTCTGCTGTCTCCCCTCTGCCTGCAGAACTGAGCTGCTGCTCCACCACAGAGTAAGTCTTTATTCCAAAATTACTTTTCCTAATCTTGCTCATTTCCTATGCAGTCTCTACTAGTTGCCTCATTTGAAATTCCTCTAGGACTGTATTTCTTTTGTGTGCCTCAGTTTGACATAGATAATGGCTCCCCTTCTACCTACTCAGTGAGGCTTTTGTGCTGTGCCCTTCACCATGAAGGTGCCTGGTTACCATGGTACCGACATGCTCTTCTGTTCTTGATGCTGGGTTAATCTGTTCTCATTGTGTCTACATGCCATTGCTGCTGTTCACTAGTTCCTTTCTGCAGCATAAACAGGCAGATACCTCAACCCTTTCTATACTGAAGAGGAAGATTCCCTTCTGTACAAAATGGGCGAAAGATCTGCTAGCTCCATTAACTCAGAGAGGTGGTAGGAAAGAGTTTTCACTTCCTATGATACCAGCCTGTTTTCTCCCTTATAGGAGTTGTGGCTCTTCATTGAATTCGAGACTGGAGTCCAGTGGCCTCCTACACAGTGCAGTGAACAACTCCCTTCCTTTTGCTGCCTAGCATGGATACTTGGCGGAGAGGATCCATTAAATCCACAACGTTCTTCAAGCGTCTTTCGTTCAGGAGGCATAAAAAGCTGGGTAATCAAGTCATTATTTTGAATCAGACCAGCCAGACACTTGAGAACAATGGACAGTACAAGAGGGAACCATTAAGAGACCTGAAGGATAAAGCAGAGTACCTGGTATGTAAGAGTGAGCAAAATCTAGCCCAGGCACAGGCACCTCCTAAGCCACCCCGGCTGTATCTGGACAGTTCCAGCTGCCCCAACATAATTGACCACACGGAGTCTCACTCTACAGCCATCTCCTTTTCCAGTGTCACTCCTCAGTACCATAAGACAACACAAACACACATGACTAACTCCAACACGGTCCAGGCTACAGACTGTGGGACCTCTGAAATAGGCTCTGATCCCTTCCTTTCCTTCAAAGTGGACTTGGGGCTATCACTCCTTGAGGATGTTCTGCAGACTCTCAGGAAACAGAATCCAAGAGATTACGCAGCTTGAAAGTGTTTATCATTTAAGTTATTAAATTAATTATCAGCATTAGTAGTTTCCTTAGCCCTCACAGGAGAAGAGGAGACACTGGAGTGTCCCTACCCTGGACTGCCTGTCTCATCGTCCTGTCTTGCCCACCATAAGCTGTTCTTGTCCAGGCTCCCTTCCCATTGAGTTGTCAGTACACCAGTTTGTGAGAGAGCCACATGCCGGAATCTAGTTTGATGCATTTCCATTCTCTACACTGGACGGGGAATTCCTCTCCACTGCTGACACTGTACCTCATCCTGATGAAAAAAAAGGACATGTCTGGTAACAGAGACCTGTTATTTTTGGAACCCCGCTGTGACTATAAAAGGCAAGGGGGAAAAAGGGGGGCATAGAAACAGGATTCCTGAGTAACTGGACAGTTTGGATGAGATGGCAGCTCCAATATCTCAAAGCCAGGTGGAGCAGAGAAAATGGATGTGATGATTCAGGATGTTTCTTTCCCCCTAACTCTGTGTGATGGGCATTCCCATCTACCATCTAACTGGAAAAAGGTAAGCAGCTGAAAAGGCTCACAATATAGCAACAGCAAATTCTCCAGCCTATTAGCAAGTGGAATAGCTTCTGTAGATATTGCTTCTTAGAGCATGCTCTGAATAATCAGCTGTAAACTAATATAGGTAAGAATAAATGTATCAGTCATTACAAGTCTGTCCTTGCCTCATTTCACTTGTACCAAGCCACAACAAAGGTGCCAAGATCTGTAAGGTAAACATTCCTTGGTCCCGCATCTTTTTATGACATGGGTGTTGCGGGCAGTGAGGTTATTGCTGGGTTCCAATCCCTTCTGCTACTCCTAGTGGGAAAGGCTAGAACTGCAGCCACTGGGACATGTTACCACAAGCAGATGCTGGTCACCTAAGACACCGGGCACCGCCACCACTAATGTCAAGGCTAAGAGCACTTTGGGTCAGTTGCTGGCTTTACTAAAGTGATTCTGCACTAGTACTGTGGCAGCAATTCTTAGCAATTACTAGTGCTGGGTTAGAAAATGGTGTCATTTTTTCTCTAGGGGTTGCTAACCAGAGGCATCTGGTGCATTTAGCATTTGGGTGAACCATGTCAAAGAAGGTGCAGATGGCTCCTATCCCACCAGCTTCACATCAGAGAAAGAAAGCAATATTAAGTCTTACTGCAATCTTAAAGTAGCTTTGAAAATGCCAAGGACAGTTCCAGAGAGAAAGCTGCTTTCAACCATTGTAGGACAACATTGCTGGATCCCTGGCGAACACTGAGGGGGCAGTGCTAGTAAGAAGCTCCCAGAGAAGACCTTACTGGTACTGATAAGACAGTGTTGTGAATAATTTGCATGGTGCTGGTGTACTCAATACTGTACAACAGCTGCAGTGTGTCAGAGAAAAGCTCGCTGCCCCTAGGAGGTTTTAATTAGGACCCTACAAAATTCACAGCCATGAAAAACACGTCATGGACCGTGAAATCTGGTCTGCCCCCATGAAATTTGGTCTGTGTGTGCTTTTATCCTACACTATACAGATTTCATGGGGGAGACCAGTGTTTCTCAAACTGGGGATCCTGACCCAAAAGGGAGGAGTTGGAGGGGGGGGGTCACAAGGTTATTTTAGTGGGGTTGCGGTATTGCCACCCTTACTTCTGTGCTGCCTTCAGAGCAGGGTGGCTGGAGACCGGGTGGCTGTTGGCCGGGCGCCCAGCTCTGAAGGCAGTGCCCTGCCAGCAGTAGTGCAGAAGTAAGGGTGGCAATACCATACATGCCACCCTTACTTCTGTATTGCTACCTTCAGAGCTGGGCGGCTGGAGAGTGGCGGCTTCTGACTGAGGGCCCAGCTCTGCAGGCAGCAGCGCAGAAGTAAGGATGGCAATACCATACCAGGCCATCCTTACTCTGCACTGCTGCTGGCGGTGGCTCTGCCTTCACAGCTGGGCTCCCAGCCCGCAGCCACCGCTCTCTAGCTGCCCAGCTCTGAACTGCAGCACTGCAATTCCCCCTACAATAACCTTGTGACACCCCCCCCCCCCAACTCCTTTTTGGGTCAGGACCCCAACAATTATACCACCATGACATTTCAGATGGAAATAGCTGAAATCATGAAATTTATAATTTTTAAAATCCTATGACTGTGAAATTGACCAAAATGGATTGTAAATTTGGTAAGACCCTAGTTATAGTCTACAGGAAAAACGCAGGTACAATAGTTAGTGCACTGTAGTCAGAACATTGTGGTTCTGTAGCAGTTTGCAGAAGTAGAGTAGGGAGGGAGCTCAATTTACATGAAGTGGGAGGCTAATCTAGGCATGTGGGATGGCATGAAAAAAAGCATGAGGTATCCAAAGGGAGCAGCAGAAGAGAAATGAGTGCAGACCAAAGGGATGGGATGAGGGCTGAGCCGAAGGACAGCTTAAAAGTAAGAATCTTGAACTTAATATAGAAGGGAAACCAGAGAGGATACTAACATAGGAGGCAGAGGTGGTCAGAATAGTGGAAAGGGAAAGTCTCTTAGCAGTGCATTTTGGATAGACTGGAGAGGAGAGTTGATGGCACAGAGGAATGCAGCCAAGACAAGAAGTTACAAGAGCAGGGATTCATATTTTGGCAGCAGGGATGAATTTTGGAAACGTATGGAAAGTGGCAACAGGATTTGGGGAAATCCTGGGTAAGAGGGGAGAAGGAAAGATAGGAATCAAAGAGGACCCCACAGTTCTGAGCCCGGGGAACAGGAGGATTGGGAGGTTACTATCACAGGAACGGTAGATGTTACGTGTAACAGCAATGGTAGTTACTACTGTCAGGCAGAAGTGTAACTTTCCAGCTGATGATGTTCCTTTCAGTTGTAGGTCATAAATCCTCACCCATGCTAACAGATGACTGGCAGCCCCACCAGATCAGAGGGACTCTGTTCAATAGCAATGACTCTCCAACCTCCATCCAGCAGGAATACCATTAGCTGCTTTGGCCTGCTCTCCCTCTCTGCTCAGCCACACTAATGACTCACAGCAGGCAGAAGCTAACAATCTTTTACTACGGAAATGAGCCAAGACAAACCCAGACACAAGCCAGGGCTCTCACACGCAAACTGCACAAATCCATCACCAAGTTCCAATTGCATTAACAACCCCTTAGGTATGAACAGAGCCCAGGGAAATGCTTTTTAGTTTATCATCATTTTGCTTTATTTTGGGGGAATTTCATTTTATTTCATTGTGTCGTGGGAGGCCCTGGAGGTGGGTGGGTCAGTTCCTACCCCAGGGAGTCAGAGACCCTGGGGAGAGATTGGATCCTGCCCCTGCAGGGAAGCTTTGCAGGCCCAGGGGTGGGAGACCCTGGGGAGAGGTTGGGTCCTGACCCTAGGTTTGAAGGCCCAAGGGTGGGGGTGTCAGGTCCTGCCCCCAGGGGGAGGCTCTGGAGGCCCTGAGGTGATCAGAAGGACCTGGGGGGAGGTCAGGTCATGCCCTGGAGGTGGGGGGAGTTGCATAACCCACTTTGTGCACTCTATGCAGCAAGAGTTCCTGTCCCATGCGGCTGTGCCCACCTTCCTGTCCTGGGTGTTGCAACCTGGTGCATGAAGTTGCAGTGTTGCTCAGGTTTGGCCCAGGTCACAATGCCACTCACTAATATTTGATCTGGCCACTCCCATCATGATGGAGGGGTGGCTAGGCCAAACCAGAGCAGCATAGCAACTTCATGCACCATGTTGCAATGCCTGGAGTGGGGAGATGGGCCTGGCCCTGTGGGACAGGAGCCACCGCTGTGTGGTAAGGTTTTCATTTTATGGGGGTTTTTGTTTATTTCATGTTATTTCACATTTGCGAAAAATACAGGGCTCGAGGTCTGAATGGGCTCCTCGTCTGCCCTTAAAAAGGGACACTGAAGTTCACTAGGCTGAATTCAGATTTGTCCATCCCCCGACCAACCTAAAGACTCTGCAGTGTCTGTGGAACTCAAGTCAGCTCTATACTGCATATCCAGTTAGCTCTACTCCCTGCTGCTTCCAGGGTGAGACGGTTTGCAACCATAAGCACCTGAGCCTGCAGTCAGATGGGAGAGCCACTCTTCTCAGACAGGTGTGTGCACTGAGTGGAAACACCCAGCCCCAAAACCTGGGATGGTGGACAGGCAATTCCTCTTGGAACATGCCACTGAGTGAAGAGTCAGAAAAATAAAAGTAGGAACATCAAACAGCCTGTGAAGTAGCTAAAACTATCCAGCTTGCGTCTCATTTTGCTGTTCTTGATGGTAGAGCTGCTTCTGAAAAGGCCACTGGATCAGTGTAAAATATCAAAGAATTTGATATTAGACTAGGAAGGCAGGCGACTAGCAAGGACCCTCACAGTAAACTCTCCTGGGAAGAAACATGTCTTACCATGTGTGTTAGGCTTGGTATCAGTTTGGGTTGCTATACAAGTGATTTTTAACAACAAAGGGCCTGCGTTTTCCTTACCTGAGAAGCTCTAGGCTGGCTAGAGCCATCAGGGAACTTCGTGCTGGGATTGTTCTGTGGCTGGCCCTCTAACCAGGAGATCTTTAGAGGATTATTTATCAAACCAACTTCATTCTTCACTGCCATCTCCTATCAATGAGAACATTCTCCCATCACCATCTTCATTTCAAACCCCATCACCACCCCTGGTGCACTCCTTAAACTGGCATGTAAGTCTTCCCACTCTTAATCCAAAATCCAGGCCAAATAGGGCACAAAACTTCAGGATTCACTTCCAGCCACTGCAGGTGAAGAATACCATTTTATGAAGCCCACACTGGTATCAAACAGAAAGTGCACTTGGTATAAGGAGCATGAATAACTTGTTTTGGTATAAGAAGTAAAAGAACAGGAGCAAGATCCTCAACTTGCGTTAACGTGTCAGAGCTCAGTTAAAGTTAATGGAGCTATGGCAATTTACGCTAGTTGAGGATCTGGCCCTAGAATTCTGTTCCCATACAGACCAGACTCCGGTTACATTGCTCTTCGCTGCCTTGATTACAAGTAAATACACAAGTGTCCCCATCCTCATGATCACCAGTATCATTCATTACCAGTTGGTTGCAGTCTTCCTGCGCAACGTCAGTCAACATTCCCTAGTCCACCTCCAGACTTCCCAACAAAGTAAACCTGAGGTCTTCTGCTAAACTTACAGCAGCTTTAACTGTAGCAAACTCCACAACTGCACTCCCCGTCTTCTTACTTGAGATCACCAAGTTCAGCACTTCACCATACTGTCAGAATCAATGAGAAGAGGCAAGTCAAACATAGAACCAGACAAGAAGCAAAATGTATCCCAGTGAAACTTGGAAACGTTGGCCATGGGAGAAAGCTACAGCTGATCCAGTGCCAGCACAGAATGGTGGAGGAGGTCTAGCTGTGAGGGGAAAGGGGTCAGGATGAGATCACAGCTGCTCCTCTCCCATCAAGAGTCACTCCAAGGAATGATATAGGAGTGTCATCTTTGTAGTAGCTAATAGTTACTGTCACTGCTCCCAGCAGGAGTCACTATAGGAACACTGTCTGCCTGAGAACTAACA